TTTCCCAGCACCATTGGTTATAAAGACTATCTTTTCTCCAGTGTATGTCTTTGGCAACTTTATCAAGGATCAGATGACTATCTGTGGGTCTGTCTGTATCTTCTCTTCTGGACCTCTCCTCTGCATGTCTGTTTYTATGCCAGAACCATGCAGTTTTTGTTTCAGTAGCTCTGTAGTATAATTTGATGTCAGGTGTTGTGATGCCTCTAGCTTTGCTTTTTTGGCTTGAATTTGCTTTGGTTATCTCCACCAGACCTTATAGTCCATGCTGCCTACCTGCCTGTCTTCTTTCTTTCTTCCTTTCTGTACTAGGGATGGAACTCAGGGCCTAATATATGCTAGGTAAGTGTTCTGCCATTGAGCTACATCCCCAATTCTTTTTATTTTGAAGCGGGTCATACTAAGTTGTCCAGGCTGTCCTCAAACTTGCCATCTTCCTGCCTCAACCTCTTGAGTAACAGGGATTGCAGGCGTGTGCCACCGTGCTGCACCGTGCTGTGTAGGTGTCTTGTTCTGCCTGTACTTAGTCTAGGTGCAGTTGAGTCTGTCTTGCTCTCCATTTTCAGATGTGTATTTGAAGGAGAACAGAGATGTCTTAGGACTGTGTGCTGATAGGTGTGAGCGGGCAAGGGCTTTTGGGTGGGACATCCCTTATCTAGCATGTGTAGTCTTCGCCCTCTTACTGTCTGCTGTTCTCCCTGGGTATGTGACTTGTGCATTCCAGCATGTTTCCTGTTGGGTCTCATGGTCTATTTTCTTATGTGTAATGCTTAGGGCCTGTCTTAAAATAAGGCCAAGAGCAAAAAGTTAACACTGTCTTCAACTTCTTGTCTGTTTCAGCCAGGAAAATAGTTCTTTGATGAAAAGTACATTAAGTGCTGGATAATTAGTGTTATTTATTTAGGAAAACTTTTACTGAATATCCCCTTCCAGTCTGATGAGGGTCACAGATATGTTTTTACTCACTCCCTGTTCACCACCAGATTACCTGGATGATGCCATCCCATTTCTGGTTGGCTTCAGATCTAAAAGGCGAGAGTGTTCATGGAGATGAGACCTGAGGAGGAGTGTTGGGGATTGTGGAGGGATTGCTCTCTAGGGTCCTCTTGGGAGGGGCCTTCTGACTCTGCTCACTTAGACAGATGCTGCACTMGAGTGAAGGAGCTTCAGATCACCAGGTTGGCCGTTGCTGCTTCTCCCTGGTCCTGGTCCTGGATGGCCCCTTCTCTTGGAGAGTTTCTGAAAACAGCATACTTTTTTTTTTTTTTTAAAGAGAGAGTGAGAGAGGAGAGAGAGAGAGAGAGAGAGAGAGAGAGAGAGAATTTTTAATATTTATTTTTTAGTTCTCGGCGGACACAACATCTTTGTTGGTATGTGGTGCTGAGGATCGAACCCGGGCCGCACGCACGCCAGGCTAGCGCGCTACCGCTGAGCCACATCCCCAGCCCCAAAAACAGCATAGTTTATCTGGGGTAACTACAGCAGAGCCCAGAGCTGCTGCACTGAATTGTTGGTGAGTTTTTAAGACAGGTACCACTAAACGAGCTCGGCAGTGAAAGGGAGGTGACTGCCACTGCACTAGTGCTTTAGGACCGTAGTCTTTTACTTGGAGAACAACAATTTTAGTTTCTGGTCTGAGACAAGAGGATGCTGAATAACTTTGGGCATGTGGGTGACTTCCAAGTTTAGTGTCTTCCATCTGTGAAAAGAGGGTTGTCAGAATCAGAAGAGGTGTTGTGGCCTGTGAGTCCTTTGGTCAAGTGGGTGTCCAGTGAGCACAGTGCCCTGGAGGGGTCAGACCATTAGTTGTCTTCCTTCAACTCCCTAAGATAAGTCCAGCCCTGGTGTGTGGGAATCACTGTCACTGCCAGTTAATGTGGTGATGGAAGTGAGACCACAGGCTCAGGTCTGCAAAGCAGGCAGCCTCTGGTGGCTTCACTGATGTGGCCTGAGAGCACAGGAACTGCACAGCCCTCAGTACACTGGGTGTCCTTCCTTAGGGTCATATGGCCACGGGATGGGAGGTTCCGTTGGCCACTGTGTGGTCATATCTTTTTAAAAAAATATTTATTTTTTAGTTGTAGTTGGACACAATACCTTTATTTTGTTTATTTATTTTTATGTGGTGCTGAGGATTGGACCCAGGGCCTTGCACATGCTAGGCAAGCACYYTTACCGCTGAGCCACAACCCCAGCCCATGTGGTCATATTTTCATATTCAGAATGCTTTTCCATTTCTGGCCCACTCGTGGTGTGTGGCTTCATCACCTGGGCCGACTGCACTACAGTGTTTCACATGCTGCTGCTGTGTCAGGCTTCTGTGGGGTAGTCTTAGCTTGTGGAGGTA